GGCCCCGCGCCCCCGCTGTGCCGCCCGGGCCGGGGGTGGCGGCCGGGGCAGGAGCGGGGTCCGGGCACCTCCTTCTCTCGTGCCCGCCGGCCTGGAGACCCCCAGCGCCCTGCCCCGTGCGGGGGGCGGCACCCGAGCGCCCCCGGCCCGAGCTGGGGGACGGGGTGCGGGGGGGGGCGAGGGGGCCGCGGTGCTGCTGGCTTTCTGGGTCTCGGGTCCGGCTCTGGGGGTGTCGGGCTCCCCAATGTCGGCCCCGGTGGGGCTCAGGTCAGGGGGTCTCGGTCCCTGATGCTGCCTGCTCCGCTTGGGTCTCGGGGTCCCCCCACGTGCAGTTCTGGGGGTCTCGGGGTCCCCCAAGCTGCCACCTGCCTTTGGGTTTCGGGGTCCCCCCAAGGCCCTGCACCGCCCCCCCGAGCCAGCAGAGGCGGCAGAAGGCCGCGCGGTCTCCGGGCTGTGCGGGGGAGACGCTTTGGGGGGAGACCAGTGCGGTGCCCAGAAGCGCTGGTAGCAACACCTCCGCGAGCACCGCGCGCCCCCGCCCCCGCCCCCGCCCCATGGAGAGGTGGCGCGTGTGCCACAGGGTCACCCTCTGCTTCACCTCGGCCTCCTTCTCCCCGGCTCTTCTCCCGCTCAGCTCTGCCTCCACCTCCAGCCCAAGGATCCTGACCCCCTCGCAGGGGACCGAGCCCCCGGGGACTCCAGGCCCCCGAGCTCGCCCGCGGCCAGGCAGGTGCTTTTGCTCACATTGCGCTTGGCCCCTGCTGCCGCTTCGTAGACCTGTGTGCGCCACAGGGATCTTGCTACTGAGCACTTATTCTGGCACAGGATGTTCGAGTCACCCATGTAGGCCAGGACCCTGGTCTCTTCCGCGCCTCCTCCAGGGATCTGGGCGCCGCGCAAGAGGGACCAGGAGATCCGGGGGCAGGAGGCGATGCAGGCCATGCAGCTTCCGCCTGAGACCGAGTTTCCCACAAAGACCCCACAGCTGGCATCGGGGCACGACCTCCCCACCCCAGAGACCTGGCGTCAAGGCTTCAGGGGCCCTGGCTGCTGGGAAGGCGCGGGGCCGCGGGAGGTTTCCAGCCTCCTGCAAGAGCTCGGCCAGCGCTGGCTGGAGCCCCAGCGCCGCAGCAAGGAGCAGATGCTGGAGCTGGTGGTGCTGGAGCAGTTCCTGGCCCTCCTGCCCCGGGAGATGCGGAGCTGGGAGTCAGGGCACGGTGTGGAGACCTGCGCCCAGGCCGTGGCCCTGGCTGAACCCCCAGTTGAGAGTATTCCCCCCTCCATGACCTCGGGCAGCATTCCCTCCCAGCCCCCTCGCTCCCAATTCCTGATGCCGCAGTGACACACTGATCTTATTCCTAGATCACAATGTGTGTGCATGTCAAGGAGGGGCACTTCCGCCGGCAGTTCCGGTTTTGGGGTTGGTGCTTCCAGGGGTGCACAGCCAATCTTGGGGGGTTCAAGTGCACCCCTATATGTTGCCAGTGGGCACAGAACAGGGAGAAGGGGGAATCAAACCCCCTATTCGTGACAAGCAGGACAATTCAAGGCAAAGCAAACCTAAAGCTTCTTATGCTGTCAGGGTGCCCAAGACATCTAAGGCACTAGGCTCAGATAAGGTCTTTCCCCTTGTTTAGGGAGTTCTGGTGTCTGTCTGGAAGCGTGGGTCCAAATCCATCCCCTGGCACTTGCTTTTGGCTGGCCACTCACACTTCTGCATGCCAGCCTCCTCCAGCAAGCTTAGCAACACCAGCAGCTTGGCTGCTCGTGCTCTGGTGGCTTGCCCCTTGAGAGCTGTGGCCACACTTCCCCCGGTGCGGCACTGGAAGTGGGTTGGGGCTTCCAGGGCGCCCTCCTCTCCCGCTGCAAGCCTCCCCACACTTGTGCCGAAGGTCTCGGTGGCGGGGAGTGCTGCCAGGACAAATGCCAGAGCCCCGGGCAGTTCCACCACCAGCAAAACCATCCCAGAGTCCAAGGCACAGAAGCACTCGGAGCGAGAGGGCAAGAAAGTGATGAGTACCCTTGAAACTTTTATAGGTTTTTTTTATACTTTGGGAACAGCTGTACGTTTTGAAAAAGTATTTTATCTAACCAAGGGCATAGAGTAGGTTGTTTAGGCTGGGGGAGATGGCTTGTTGCCTAGTTGCTTAATTGCTGGCCTTGCTAGAGGGAAAGCCATATCAGCAAGGTCCCTAAGGGGCTGGAAAGGGGGGTTACTGGCTGAGCTTGATGAATAACAGGTGCCACATCAGCAAATTACATTGTCACGAAGGCAAGTTCAAACTGACTAGGGAGGGGTCTGTAGCTAGGGTGAAGTGCGCATGGAGCAAAAGGGGCAACCTATAGTAACTGCATAGCGTGTAAGGCTAGAAGAGGCTATATAAGGCTAATGCCCACTC